AGGCCCCGCCCCGCCCCGCCCTAGCCGCGCCCCCGCCGGGCAGGGTCCGGCCCCTCGCAGCCGTGCGCCCCGCCCACGAGCGAGGCCACGCCCCCTTCCGGTGGCTGTCCTGCCGGGGCGCTGAGGCGGGGAGTCGAGGCGGGGCTGGCTCGGCCCCAAGGGCTGGGAGCTGACTCGCCCCTTCGCGGTTGCCTCTGGAAAGAGCCAGATTTGTTTGTTTGTTTGCCCGTAGCCTTTCCTCCGCTCAACTCCTTGCTCGGCCAGAAATAGAGGTAAAGTGCCAAGGCCAAGTCTCATAAAACGCCCCCGCGTGCAGCACAAGTGACTGGGCTCCGCGGACCTGTTCTCTGAGGCTTTGCCCCAGTGTGGGATGCCTGAGCTATTGGGCAAGGACGAAAGTGCGTGGGGGCTGTACTGTCCACGCCTAAGAGCTTCCCCCAGTGCCGCGTGCACCTTGAGACACGCGTGTGTCCTGGCTGTGTGAGGCGTGGGCATGCACTAAGAGTGGCTTTAGCACATGGGAGTTGCAGACGGAAAAAGGAAGGGGAGTGGAGAAAGTAAGGCCCGGGGAATGTGGACAGAGCTAACTGCTGGGATGTGGGAGCCAGAAGGTAGTGTCACACTTCGGAAACATTCTTTTAAGTGAGCTTCCGCGTACTCCTTTATCACAGTTTCATCTCTTATGAGGAAAAAAGAATCAGAGTCTATCCAGAATGAGGCAGAGTGTGACATCAAACAGCGAACATCCTCTGTAAATGCTTCTGAGCTATCTCCCATCTATAACGTAGATGGCTCCCACTATTTTATTATGCATGGCTGACCTCTGCAACAAAGTTAGAATACTTTTTTGTTTCCGTCTTACCTTCACTAAAATGAACATTTTTACATAAATAATATTTTATGGAAGAAGTTTTCCACTTGAAATAGACATTTACAACTCATAAGAGTTTAACTTAAATAAGTGTGTTAGTAACCAAAGGATATAGTTTGAGGGACTTTTAGGATGAGGTGGTACCTGGTTTTCTGTGCAGACCCTTTCACATAGGCCGTACACCTTTAAAGTACCACCATGAACTTCCTGTCTTTGGCCCTATTTTTTTTTCTAGGTGGGTCATATGTTTGATAGTTCCCAGTACATCATTACTTATCGTTGGAAGCAACAACTCCTGATGGTTTATCAGTATCCCAAGATCAAATCCACAACCCAGGCTGGCTTCCCAGAGCCATCATGGTATTATCCTGGCCCTCCTAGACTTACAGGGAAATGCCAGAGGGTGATGGTAGCATCTCTGTAGCTTGACCTTTCACTAGTAAAGGATCTGTTAGTTATGAATGTATCTTAGACTATCAGGAATTCTCGATTAAGGATGAAGCTAACTCTTTTGTGTCCTTCCAAAGGAGCTGCCACGGGAAGATGAGGCAGATGGAAAGGAGGTGCCTGGAGAACTGTTGGGAGGGTTGGCCAAATGCTGTACAGTACACTGCCTTCACAGTTTCAGTTTTACCCAGGGCCTTGTTGGATCCTGTCCCATCCACCTGCTGTCCCCAGCTTCCATTCTGTCAAATCCTCGTCGTTTAATTCATTCCTGTTCTGCCTGCTACCTGCACAGGAGAGCTGATCCACCATTTCTTCACTCTGTGGTTCTGCCAGCCTCAATCCTATCCTCCTTACAGCCCTCTGATTTATACAACAGAATGTACACGCCATTTATTGGCGAAGTGAATTATGCAGCAAATAATATGACCAGGTCCAGACAGTATGTTAGTTACCAGCCACATTGTAATCATGAGAGACTGTGGAATGTTATCATCTCTTTCTTGTACCTGTAATACGATGCTGATTCTACATGGAATACTGACTAGCCTTGACGTAAGATGTCTGTTATTGTTTGTCTTCACATGAGACAGACTAGGGATGTGCCGTGTGTTTTACCTCCAGTGCAAATTATCTAATAATTAGTTTTGTTTGCATTTTTAAAGAGCAAAGAATTCTTGGGAAAGGCAATAATGAAGTATAGCTTATATTTACAAGTCCTTCCATCACAGTCAGAAAAACAAAAAGGGAGTAAATCCAGCAAGTACTAGAATAGAGTATAGCAATTAGGGAATCTATGGTGGTACAAAACTTAAAAATAGAGAATTATTTTGCATTACAAAACTTAATGGAGAATGAGAAAGGTGTATTTCCTTGAGAATAAAATCATAGGCAGCATGCTATTCTAAGGATTTATGTTGCCAACTCTGAGGCTATTTTTAATGCCCAAAGTATTTGATTTATTCAGTAGTGAATGCTAAACCTGAGGAAAATCTAGGCATTTGCTTGTTTCCAGGCAATGACTTTAGGCTAGACCAGCTGCAAAATCTGCATTGCTAATGTTCTACATTAATAATATTGTCTATGTCATTGATACTTATGAAGAAGAGAAATATTAAATATGTTAATTATATTTAATATTATATTATTATGTTATATTACATCATAGTTATATTTAATATAAACAATTTCACCTAACAAGATAGAGTGGAAACTAGCAGGCCTTTGGTATCAGACTAAAGTTGAATGTTTCCTCTTTGGATATCGCTTCTCTCATATGTAAAATCACAATTATAACTAACTTCCCAAGTTAGTGTGAAGGTTACACAAATGAAATAGATATTCAATATATTATGTTATAAGAGACAAAATAAGTCAATTTAATATGGAGAAAGTATTATAATAGTAATGAATTGTTTCTATTTCCATTTTCATGCAGATGTTTCTTAAAATTATAATAAATTCAGCATAGAACAGAAAAAATACTGTGTTTAAAAAACAAAATTTTAGGTAGAAAAGCTTTAATAATAAGTGATAGATGATATGATGTAAATTACTAACCATCACACAGGCCTCAAAAATTAGATAACAAGATTTATTTTTACTGTAGTTAAATTGAGGCCTTTTGGCTCTACTTAAGATACTGTTTCATTTATATCTATATAACCAGCGTTTTATTCAGAATAGCAGTTTTATTCTGAGTAGCAGAATTGCAGTTGTATCAAATACTTTTTGTCTGTCTTGGGAAAACGCTACATAGCGTATTACTACAGTTCCCAACTTTCCATTTCTCTTCCGTCTCATCCCAATCTTAAAGGCTTGGGAATTCCTCAAAATAAATTTCATATGACATTGCCATACAGTTCAAAAGAAAACCTTGTAGTTCCCTCAACATCTATTAACATTCCCATCATAGCAGGGGGAAAATTTCCAAAAAGAACGAAAGAGAAGGGAAATGGCACTCAATAAGAATAAGTCTTCAGAAACACCTAATGATTTACTTATAAAACAAGTATAATAAAGCCTTCTGAAAATGAGTTAGTCTGATTTTGATCAGTTCTTGATTTATTACATGAAGATACTATTAATCATTGTTTTTGTTTTAGTATTTCTAACTATTGTACATATTTTTTTTTTTTTCGAGACAGGGTTTATCTATGTAGCCTTGGCTGTCCTGTACTGGTTTTGTAGACCAGGCTGGCCTCAAACTCACAGAGATCCACCTGCCTCTGCCTCTCTGAGTGCTGGGATTACAAGTGTGTGCCACCATGCCTCTTATTGTGCATAAAGAAATAAAACTTACTGTCAAATATTACCAAATTGTATACTTTCTGATGTTATATACATTGGAGGCTTGCTGGATTTATCCTTTGTTTTAAGGTCACAACTTCATGTTTGTTGAATAATAATAGATTTACCCTTTCCACAGTGAATCTTTAGCCAGTTGTTTTGTTTTATTTTGTTTTTGTTTTTTCATTGACTCAGTTCTCTCCTGTTTCTCAGCAATACGTAAGAATGCCCATCTATTCTTTATCCACAATGGAGAAGCAAGATTATGTAAGAGAATGAGTATAATTCCCTTGATCTGTTTCATGATTTCATAAAGTCACTTACAGGAGGCTTTGGGATTCCTAGTGGACATATGGAAACTCTATATGGGAAAGCTAAAATATTTGTAATTAGTCTGCAAAGCCTAGTTTCTCAAGTTTTACTCTCTTTCTTTTTCTCTCTCTCTTCCCCTCTCCCTCCCTGTCTCTTTCCCTCTCCTTCTCTCCCTTCCTCTTGTTTTCAGTCTTACCCTAAAATGTGGCTTTTAAAGATCTCAGCCACTTTGAATCATACAAGATTTTGCAGAAGTATATGGGTCTGCATTCAATGCTCATTCTGTGCCAGCACTTGCTGATACTAGGAATTTTTCTGCAGTATGTGACAAAACAAGATAATGTCTTAAGTTCTCAAATGTTAACACCCTGTAATGTGTTCCTTTTTTTTTTTGATTCACGTTTTTTTTCTAACTTGATATTTCCAAAAACTGTAGTTTTTATAGGATTAAATAGTTTTATATATGATTATTTTTTTCATTAAAACCAGTTAGAATTTTAAAAATTCACTCTGCATAAATTTACAATTACGTGTTTCTATATAAAATGTTCTTTGTACATTTTATGGTGATGACAGAAAGAAATCTCAGTGCCTGGATATAACACATATCTGTCTAATACTGATAGATTGAAAAGGCTATGTGAGTACAGGATTCAGAATGGTTGTTTTGCATGTGAACATTCATAAGCGTGTGTACTGAACACACTCGCACATGCACACACACACACACACACACACACACACACAGAGGCTTTTTTTTTTTTTTAAGAAAATCAATTCTTTGACATGTGCTTGCTCCTGAAAAAAAAATATGAATTATACGGGCTTCTCCCACCACATTTCCCGTCTCTAATCTCTTCCCTGCAGCTACTTCATGCCCACTGCAGAACAAACAAAATCTACATTCAGAATGGGACCCTTTACAAATTCAATGGAGTTATTTTGGGTGAGTCATTGAAAACACAGTACAAAACCTTTCCTCACTCACCAGAAATGCGTTTTAAAAAAAAATAAAGCCAAAGTGAACAAGGCTTGGCAAGTTTAAGAGTAAAATGGGGAGAAAGTGGAACTTTTCCAGCCACAGACAGGGTTTTGGCTCTGTCTTAACCTCCAGCTCCACCAGTTACTTTCATCTCCACTCACTAAAGTGCAAAGTTGAACAGGTAAGAACTCAACGTAACAACACTGCATTTCAGCTAGCACCTTCACAGCAGGTCCCCTGCACAGCGTAAAGTCCCCTGTGTCTTTCCTTACTGCAGATCTGTAGGGCCTTAAGACAAATAATTAGAAAGTTGTATGTAAATTTGATATTCATTTCTTCAAAATAGCTTTCAAGTAAATGAAGTCCCATGAAAGTTAATCCACCAACAAAGTATTACACAGAGTAAAACAGTGGAGACAGAAAGTTAGCTTGTTCCTAAAAACTTTTTGAGTTGAATTTTATAATAAATAAATCTGAATAATAGTTTCATGGTTTGGGGATATTTAGCATAGAAGTATGCAAGAGTTATAAGTCACTGTAAATTACTTCCTAGTAACCATGTGACTCACCCAGTACTGTGAAGAAAACTTCTTATTTTCCACCCGGCACTGTAGATCGATCACACAGGTTCTCACATCTCAGAAGCGAAGAGAATCCCAGAATCTAGGAAGAGATAGTACAAAGTTTGGTTTTATTATTCTGAGTTATGTGCATTTATTCACCACTGTATTTGGTTGTGTGCACGTGCATGCAGGTACTCAAGAAAGTCATAATCTTTGGATGGTCAAAGCTGAAGTTACAGGTGGTTGTGACCCTCCTGATGTGGATGCTAGGAACTGAACTCTCACCCTTTGGAAAAGCTAACCAATGAGCCACCTCTCCAGCCTCATGGGAATATTGTTTTAAAATTTATGCTCAGAACTCTTAACTATAGATTTCATAATTCCTAAGATTATCTTTAACATTGGTTGACCCAGAATGTCATTTTGAGCTAATTAACATTTACTGTAGAGGATCCTACAGTAAGAAGTATTCTATATACAAAAGTCCCATCTTTAAGTTATAAGGGGAAAAAAGAAACACTAGTTTACTTATGTGTGTGTTATCTTTGGGCTCTGAAAATCATCAGTTTCCATCAGGGTGACAACTGTTAGCAAAGAAATAAAATCTCTGTGTTGGAAATTTAAACTTCCCATGGGAATTCTAGGGCCAAAATAAATAGATATCCCTGTTCTAATTAAAAACAGATCATAGTACTCCAATTTCCAGATTTGGAGAATTTCTTTTCTTTCACTTCTCTTTGGAGTAAAGTAATGCTATTTAAATAATAAAATAAGAACTTATATTTCTTTTTTATTGTGTTTCTCTTACCTAGGAATGATTTTGTGTTGTGTTATTTTTAAAATATAATTTATGTAATGAAGTTTGGGACAGTAACAAGGAGATGTAATATATGTTACCGTTAAGAACTAAGAATAACAAAAAGAACTCTCCCATAGTCTGTTTCAAAGGAATGAAAACATGAAGTAAATTCCATTGAAACCTCATCAGGGCATGAAAGTTTCATAAAGTTGTGGGGTAGCATGCTTGGCCTAGATTACATTAATACAGCTCAAACAGCTTGATGGCATGTTTATTAGAAGATTGTTATTAAGTAAAAGAATCACGGAGTAAACTCACCAGACAGGTTATTTTGGTTGACTTTTAAATATTATTCTGGGTCTGGGACTTTCCTATTTTTTTTTTAAACAAATCAGCTCAGGGTGGTACTTTAAGCTCTAACCACACCTCATTACCGATAGGTTGATCATCTTCTTGTTGAAGCTCTAATAGGGCTCAGCTGTTAAGACCACTGGCTGCTTGTCCAGAGGACCTGGGTTCAAGTCCCATGATCCACATGGTAGACCACAGTTGTCTGTACCTCCAGGTCTTGGGGATTTAACACCATCTTACATACATGTAGGCAGAACACTAATGCCCGTAAAATAAAAATGAGTAATTTTAAAAAAATGAGTGGTTTTAACTGGGCACTTACTTCGTAACCAGTCATCATATTTAGAGCTACTAATACTGTCTGATTTAATTTAAAAAAATAATCTTTAACTGCTTGTGTTGTTCTAGTTTTATCAGTAAAAAGTCAGATTTCCTGAGATGTCAATGCTCCAGACCATACACTAATAGTCTGTTTGAGGGGCAGAGTAGAACCAAGGCTTCCTCGTGCGAAGAAGCCTTTGGCTTCCCCTGCTCAGCTGCTTCCTGGGACTTCGGGCTGCCTCTCAGAGCTCGGGGCTGAGTGGGCCACCGAGGGACCTCTTGCAGCTGCTACACAGAGGAGCAGGGACACTCAAAGCCATGAACCACTATCTGCTCCAAGTCCTTGGTTTTTCAGGGCAACAAGACTGAGTCAGAAAGATTGCCTTAAGACAGCAGGTGGTCAGTGACAGAAGTAGGGCAAGGATCTGTGTCAGCCTCTCGGTGTGCTTGCTTAGCTGCCTCTCAGGGGCCCTACCAGGAAGTTTTAGGCAGGAATTATACATATCTTAACACTCAACTTAAACAGATTGGAATACCATACACATTCCTTCTGTTTTTTTTTTTTCATTTTTGAAATTAAAAAGTAAATAAATATTGGCTTGAGAGATAGCTCAGTTTTTAAGAGCCCTAACTCAACTTTCAGAAGACCTGGGTTTGGCGCCCAACACCTACATGGCAGCTCACAACCATCTGTAAGTCTACTTCCAGGGAATATAATGTCCTGTTTGACCTATGTTGGCTCCATTATGTACACACACATGTACATATTAAATAAATAAATGTTTTATATTTATTGATAAGGTCATACACATGTACATAAGAAATAAATAACTTTTTAAATAAAGTTAAAAGACAGTGAATAACAAAAAGCATTCATGCTAAGAATATTTGCAATCATTATTTAAGAGAATTTCTCAGAACCCTCTGAAATATTTGTTGATCTGTAATCAGGACAGTTTTGGTTAAATGCAGGACAGGACTCCTATTTTCTCCAGAAAAAAAAAATTCTCTCTCTCTCTTCCTTCCTTCCTTTCCTTCTTTCTTTTCCTTTCTTTCTTGTGACACTTCTAAATCTTTCATTGTTTTGTACTAGTTTTATTTGGATGTATTTTGTGTTCTGAAGGAGTCTCTCTATGAACCCTGAAACTCATGATGAATCTACTTTGCCCATCAAATACTGAGATTACTTCTTATTGTATTATCATAAATTATACCACAACCATTACTATGTGGCTTATAGAGTAGAAAACTAAGAGTAGGATGTTTATTTTAGTCTTATTTATATATAAAACTCATAGTAATAGAAAGTCTTCTCTAAAATATTTTATAACTATCAAAAAAATGGAGACAATGTAGCTATAGAATATACTTCCATATTACCTGGAAAACTTCAGGTTTGTGGTAATCTTCCCAAGCCCCTGACTACACAAGTGCATGGCCGTGTTCTAACAGACTTTGAAGCAACCACACCCAAAGTTAGCTGTAAGGGGAAACAATGTTAGAGCTCGTGTGGACACTTTAAGGATGGTAGGTTAGGACGAGGGGTAGCGTGATAGCTGATGGCTCAGAAAAAAAGTATGGGGACTCAGACACAGCCTTTTTCCGCTGGTGTCTGGTGGTGCTGAGGGCAAATCTACCTCAGTTTTGCATAGTCTTCTGAAGTACCACAAGCTTCTGTTCATCAGTGAGCTCTTTGATAATATATATATAGATAGATAGATAGATAGATAGATAGATAGATAGATATAGATATAGATATATGTTTTGCTTCCTATAGTTGTAGAGATATAGCCACTCAGTATTTCAGCAATCACCTTGTCCTCTCCTTCTCTGGGAATAATTTTGTTAGACTTGATAGCATTCCTATAAGTGATTGATCAGATATGCCTTGAGATCTGGACAATGTGGTAACATATCTAGGTAATTTACATGCCTATTTATTGTAATACTATATGTAAATGTGAAAGACACATCATATCTAGTAAGAAAAAACATCCTCTTATATAATTCATGTACCTCAGGGGTTATATTTATTGATAAATGTAAAGATGGAAATGCTTTCATATTATCAAATCTTATAAATAGGAGGTAATGATTTTAACATCTAAGTTTCTTACTAGCATGTAATATTAAGATTCCTTGGTTAAACTGATATCCTTCAGACCCCAAACCTGTCACTCTCTTCAGCTTTAAGCACTCAGGGTTAGGGACAGCATCTTTGTAAACAGTACCTGCAGGTAATGTTGAGCTTGTGTTTGAGTCTTACAAACGAGCATAAAAATTCTACACCAGAAGCAAAAGGCTAGGAACTGCAGCGTGTCTCATCTAGCTACTTTCCTGTATGCACAAGTTTTATTTAAGTGGGATAGGGATAAGAACATGAAGAAGTCAGTATCTGGACCTGAAATCTAGTCTTCCCAGCAACACTCAAATGACAGATGTCCGACCAGACACTTTAAGAGCTTAAACAGGGTTGTTTCAATGGCTGAGAAGCGAAGAGCAATGGCTCCTTATCCAGAGGATCCTGCACATACGTACAGGCTTTAACTCCTGTTCCAGAGAATCTAGTGCGCTCTTCTAACTTCTCATGGGCAGCACACACATGCGCACAGACATATATCCATGCAAAACCGCCCATATACATGTATACATACAGTAATTAAATCTCTTTTAAAGTTTACTTAAGAAGTATTTAAAATTCTAACATATATTGAAGGAGTTGGGAATATTAACTACGCAGATTTAATCATCACACATTGCCAGCAAATACTGTCATACTGTACTCCACAAACCCATACAAGAAATGTAATTAAAATAAACACTCTAACTCAAGGAGGAACAATATTCAGGGTTTTCTAAAGGATACAAATTCAACTACTATTGTGGCTCTTAGATATCATTATACATGATTGCTTCAGTATAACAGTGTTTACCCAGGACTTAAGAGTGGTCTAGGAAGTACCCTGCAGCTTTGGTGCTTTGATAATATTCAGTGGTTTCATAAAGATTATTTTTATAAGATTACTGTGCGGTTTGCACAGTAACACCTGCCAGTACCAATTCTGCATGTGAACACTGATAGGAAAGTAGAAATAGAATCTTTCAACAATCACTAAGAATGTCATCCTTCATGTTTGGTAAAACTCCACGTAGGAGGAAACAGACATGAGAAAAATTACATGAAATCCTGGTGGGAGTAATCAGAAAGTTGATTAGCACTAGGCCTTTAAATTCTTTTTGTTGAACAGCCAGCTTTAGCAAATCCAATCAGGAGTAATAAAGCACTTTTGTGCATCTCAAAAACAAAACGAAACAGACAGAATCTCATCCCAGGTTCTCCTTAGGAGAATTTCAATAGAAACTCCTTTTTACAGTTTTCTTGCAAGAACAGTTGAAGTTAATAGGCTTTAGTTTTTTATCTCATTGGTACTGGGAACTGGATAATTGACAAAGTTTGTGCTTCATTGGCTGCTAAGAAAATGGTGCCAACTGTGTGGCTTATGCAAGGCAGAGGAGTAGGTGGTATGATATGCATCTTGAACCTTCCTCAGTTTTGTCCCCACCCGTTCTCATTTTACTTTCATTTATTCTGCAATATAGCATTTGATTTTTTGGGTTTTTTTTTTTAA